TCACGACTACTACTGCTACAATGGCTCATACCACGACTGGTAATATTACGGGCTTTCGTACTACTGCGGCAACAACTACGAATGTTACCAGTTTCCTTCCTTCTAACTACAGCGAGTATTAGTACTACCGCTACGACCACCACCACTACATTTAGTATGACGACTACCACTACGACCACTACCACTACGACTACGGCCGCTACTACTACCACTATTGCTACTACTACTCCTAGTACTGCAACGACTACGACAGAGATTGCAACCAGTGCTACGACTACTACGACCACCACTATTAACACTATTACTACGACGGCTACGACGGCGACGACGACGACGACGACGACGACGACGACGACGACGACGACGACGACTACTACTACTACTACTACTACTACTACTACTACTACTTCTTCTTCTACTACTACTACTACTACTACTACGACTACTATTACTACTACTACTACTACTACTACTACTACTACTACTACTACTACTACTACTACTACTACTACTACTACTACTACTACTACTACTACTACTTTCATCACTGGGGCTACTACTACGACGCCTACTACTACGACGACTACTACGGCGGCGCGATTATTTCCCAACCCTCCTTGGTTGGGTATTCGTTTTGCATAGAGCAGTGTGGTCTCCACTCCTTCCTTCCTCCTGCTCCTCCCTCCCTGCCTCTTCCTGTCTTGCCTGCGGGGGGCTGCGATCTGTCAATCTGTCGCCATTTTCGAGGCCTGCTGGGAGGCCCAGCACAGTGAGGGCGACGCGCAGATTCAAATTTGACCTCGCCATCCCTGGGGGGGGCTGCGATCTGTGAAACTGTTGTCATTTTCGAGGCCTGCTGGGGGGCTCAGCACAGTGACGCCACGGGCAGATTCAAATGAGACCTCGCCATCCCTGGGGGGGCTGCGATCTGTGAAATTGTCGCCATTTTCGAGGCCTGCTGGGGGGCTCAGCACAGTGAGGGCGATGCGCAGATTCACATTAGACCTCGCCATCCCTGGGGGGCTGCGATCTGTGAAACTGTCGCCATGTTCGAGGCCTGCTGGGGGGCCCAGCACAGTGAGGGCGACGCGCATATTCAAATTAGACCTCGCCATCCCTGGGAGGCTGCGATCTGTGAAACTGTCGCCATTTTCGAGGCCTGCTGGGGGGCCCAGCACAGTGAGGGCGACGCGCAGATTCAAATTAGACCTCGCCATCCCTGGGGGGGCTGCGATCTGTGAAATGTCGCCATTTTCGAGGCCTGCTGGGGGGCTCAGCACAGTGAGGGCGATGCGCAGATTCAAATTAGACCTCGCCATCCCTGGGGGTCTGCGATCTGTGAAACTGTCGCCATTTTCGATGCCTGCTGGGGGGGCCAGCACAGTGAGGGCGGCGCGCAGATTCAAATTAGACCTCGCCATCCCTGGGGGGCTGCGATCTGTGAAGCTGTCGCCATTTTCGAGGCGTGCTGGGGGGCTCAGCACAGTGAGGGCGACGCGCGGATTCAAATTAGACCTCGCCACCCCTGGGGGGCTGCGATCTGTGAAATTGTCGCCATTTTCGAGGCCTGCTGGGGGGGGCCCAGCACAGTGAGGGCCACGTGCAGATTCAAATGAGACCTCGCCATCTCTGGGGGGCTGCGATCTGTGAAACTGCTGCCATTTTCGAGGCCTGCCGGGGGAGGCCCAGCGCAGTGACGCCACGGGCAGATTCAATTGAGACCTCGCCATCCCTGGGGAGGTGCGATCTGTGAAACTGTCGCCATTTTCGAGGCCTGCTGGGGGGCCCAGCACAGTGAGGGCCACGGGCAGATTCAAATTAGACCTCGCCATCCCTGGGGGGGTGCGATCTGTGAAACTGTCGCCATTTTCGAGGCCCAGCACAGTGACGCCACGGGCAGATTCAAATGAGACCTCGCCATCCCTGGGGGGCTGCGATCTGTGAAACTGTCGCCATTTTCGAGGCCTGCTGGGGGGCCCAGCACAGTGAGGGCCACGCGCGGATTCAAATTAGACCTCGCCATCTCTGGGGGGGCTGCGATCTGTGAAACTGTCGCCACTTTCGAGGCCTGCTGGGGGGCCCTGCACAGTTACGCCACGGGCATATCAAACGAGACCTCGCCATCCCTGGGGGGCTGCGATCTGTGAAACTGTCGCCACTTTCGAGGCCTGCTGGGGGGCCCAGCGCAGTGACGCCACGGGCAGATTCAAATGAGACCTCGCCATCCCCTGGAGGCTGCGATCTGTGAAACTGTCGCCATTTTAGAGGCCTGCTGGGGGGCCCAGCACAGTGACGCCACGCGCGGACCCAAATTAGACCTCGCCATCCCTGCGGGGTTGCGATCTGTGAAACTGTCGCCACGTTCGAGGCCTGGTGTGATCCCCGTTTTCGAAGTGGCTAGGAGTGCTCAGGAATTGTAACTCATCAGCTTTATCAAGCCCTTTTCCTGTAGCCAGTGTCCTGCGAGTCTCCCGGATTCCGTCTGCAGACATATGTAACC